CTGTGTGTGTGTGTGTGTGTGTGTGTGTGTGTGTGTGTGTGAGTGTGTGTGTGTGTGTGTGTGTTTGTGTGTGTGCAGGGGATGACGGCAATAGTTCGCTCTGCCTCAACGTATATTCCAGTAGACATATGAAATATTATTATATTATAAATGCTCGTAGTCGTAAACGAAAATCAGTTTGATCGGGTACTCCTTCAAGGTACAACTGCCTCTGGGAGACAGAAAGTTATAACACTTTTTAAAGTCACCAAATCTTCTTGTGGAAGGGGGGGAGAGGGGTGGAGGCAAAGAGGCTTCATCTCTTCTGTCACTCTGTACACCTTCTCTTACTCTACCCAATGCCTCTCTTTTCCTGAACAAACACCGTGGTACACTTCTATTCATTCAAATTGTTTTATGTGTTCTTGAGCACACTTCTTTGAATCCTCCATTAAAACAGTTGATATCAACCATCTCCCATTGTTCGAAAATCACAACGATCTCATCCAACTTCTTACCGTTCTTATATTATTATGACATATTTTCAGTATCTTTTTCCAATAGAAAGAACTAAGAGGAAGTAACCCTAGTACACAGGGCAAGAATGGCGTGATAAAGTTGAATAATGGCGTCCTCTTTAGGTTCCCACGAAGTCACTTCTCCAGAAGTATGTTGAAGCAAGAGAATTTGAACGTTGCACTTTACACGTGTGTTAAGTCATTGCAGGTTGCGAAACAACCCGGCCGGACTTCACTTCCAGTCTGCTATATTTATAAGCTCGTTTCCTGGATGGTAGGGGTGTGAAGTCAGAGACAAACGTTTTCTGAGTGATCCGGTTCGAAACCAAAGTTGAACGAACCAGCCCACAAACTTGCGATAAAGAATGGATAGACAGTAACATCTGTTCCTTGTGGGGTCAGAGTGGAAATGTCTTACAAGTTTCTAAAGAATAATCTAATACAAAGTAGCTCAAATAATCTTTTGTTTTAATACACCCACATCGACACCATTAATTAAGAACATTTAGGGGGCGAGATGCTTCGACCCTGCCTGTCATGGCCAACGCGAGCTGAGGGCGATAAAATGTCCCAGCAGACAGAACAGACAGAGACACCTGTGCTCGATAAAACATTCTTCCCACTTCTGAAATGGAACTCGCGTCTTTAGCTAGCGACAACAAAGCGCGTAACGGCTACACCTGTAAAGTCGCTGCTTCTCAAGTTTCCGCTGGTTCGGGTACACTGAAAGCGTCCAGGCTGTGGTGACGGGGCCGGATCATCATAACCGTTGTCTTCATCTGCAGCCAATCCTGCCAGGCGCGGTTAAACCACACCATCCCGACATCGAAGGGTCCGTTGAGATTGCTCACATGACAGTGGCTGTACCACCAAGCGCCGCCGTTATACAGCGCGCAGTGCGACGAACTGGCGTCGTTATCAGCGTCCACGGCGCTGAACGCCATTTTGTCCGAGTAGCTCAGACCGTCGCTGGCGTTGCCATGGTAACCGCCCACGTGCAGCCGGTAGTTATCCGCCTTTGAGGCGACCTTGAACTTGGAGTAACGCGCCTCCCAGACGCCGGAGAACACGTCACGCATGAGCACACGCAGCTCGCAGTCATCCTGGAGGGTGAGAAGGTGAATGACTTCGTTTCCGAGCCAGTGCTCGCCTGCAGGGTCTCCGAACCCGCGTTCGTATTCCGCGAACGAGCGCGTGAAGTTGACGCGCCCCGCGTCGCGCCGCTGTATTACGGTCCAGCCGCCGACGTAGCTTTGGTCGTAGGCGAATACCTCGGCGGCGTAGTCTCTCCTGCTGCCTCTGCCCACACCAGCACCTCTTTCTTTGTTGTTGCCATCCTCGTCATCTTCATCGTCGTTGTCGTCTCTGTTGGATCGCTCGTCATCGTCCTTGTTGCTGCTACGCCCTTGCCTTTGCGTGACGTCACCTCGTGCAATGTTCAATGCAGAAGGTGGGTCGTTGCTTACTTCCGGCTCCCACATTTCCATGACGCAGAACGCACGAACTGATTGCGTCACCAGGTTAGGGTGGATGACGTATACATCAGACTTCATGAATCCCCGTTGATAGTAGCCGTGGCAGTCTGGGGAAGGAAAGGGGAGAGAAAAAAGCGGGATGTGAGTGGGGATCGAAAGAAAAAAAAAGTAAAATTGTTGAAGATTTATGCCTTCATCGACACTATTTAGATGAGTAGTGAAGAAGGCTGCTTCGATCCTACGTGTCAGGACCAACTCGAGCAGAGACACGAACAACGTCAAAGCTTTCGGGCATAGATACTCAATACAAATTCTCCCTACATAGGAATGGAACTCAAGTCTACTGCTTGAGACAGTGAAGCGCCTAACCGATATACCGCAGACGCCAGTAGAAAAGTAGAAAGACGAAAAGTAACCTCTATCCCTTAGGACTCAGTGTGGAAATTTCCCTCAATTTTCTTATTTAAAAATATTATATAATTACATGTATATTGTAATCGTAGTTGTTTTATGCCCCCATGACCACCATTTAGAACATATAAGAGGCGGACTGCTTCAGCCTTTGCCTGAAGTGTCTTTAAAGAACTTACACATATAGCCTACTTTTCACTCTATTGAAATAGCATGAACATATTCAAACTACTATTAGTAGCAAGAACACATTCTTACCCTCTCGAACCAATTTGCCACATATACCCGTAACCGTTTCTCGCTTTCTCTTTCACCCCTCTATTTATCTTTCCTTGTCTCCCTCATCTCTCTCTCTCTCTCTCTCTGTCTCTCTCTCTGTCTGTCTCTCTCTCTCTCTCTCTCTGTCTATGGAGATGGGTGTCTCCTAAA